AATAAACAAATAAATGTAAATAACAATATTATAGACTTGGCTCCTGCCAATGCAGGCCGCGTTATATCAAATTCTGGGTGTGAGTTTAGATCTTTAAAAGAAGTAAAGAACAAATAAGGCTTCAAAGTGTAACACATTCAAAGAAATGGAARAAATTAGCAATGTCTTAAGGCTTAGTAATACAAATACAAATATGTATTTTTCCCAAATTATCCTTAAGAAAGGATCATTTATTAAAATACCCTCCAATTTCATGGATCTACTTAAACTTATCCTATAGTTTCCATTTTATTAAAACACCCCTATACTTTGCAACTTATTTACTTAATTGACCTAAGCTGATTGAAAAATGTTCAAGGGCATGGGTCCATGAATGTTTATTCTAAACATATTCTTATCACTTTTTTCATTTAGAAAATAAAATTGATCAAATATAATCCAATAGGAGTGGTTGTTCATATCCTATTAGGGGTAAAAATGATATTTTATTTTTTATTTTCTTTTTGATTAAATTATTTCAAATAGACATTAAGTCAAAACTGTCATTTTCCACTCTAATTATGCAAATCTATTACAAACTATAGAAAATGTTTTAGTAAATCAACCCCCTCCCCTCCTCACCCAAATAAATTAATAAATAAATAAATTACAGCGTAATACCTTTAGTCGGAATGTCAAGACACCAAATAGATCCAGTACTGGTGTTATTCTTGAAAGCACATCTCTTGCCCTTTTCATTGCAGTATGAACAATTTGGTGATTTCCAACCGAAKAAGAGGCTTGAATCTGGGTCATTGATATGAGACAGAAAATGATTCGAAAATGGAACTGAGATGGTCCTCACTTTATGGCAAGACGGTGGGGGCATATAGCCACTCAGCCAGTCATCATCCAAAACATGAACAGCAAAAACTTGGTAACCGGAAACTTCAAGGCAATTGATTCGGTGCGCTTTACCTCTTAATTCTGTTGATGAGCAATTCAATATGATAATGAGGTCATAATAATCGTTACCATCTGAAGAGAGTGTTTGGTGGAAGGGAGATGTAGAGAAATTGAGGTGTAGAAGACGTTTGATGATACAGCCCTGAGGGTCATAGRTTTCTATCAGTTGGGATCTGTAATCTATGGCTTTTACAAGGAAGGCACCCGAAAATGGTAGCTCCAGTTTGGTTTCTTTATTTGCAGTACAAGATAGCTCGAACCCAGGATAGCCACAGTGACTCTGCTGCCGGTCTTCTTTTAGCCTGAAGGGGAATCGGATGGCAGGGCCATGATGCTTGCATTCTGATATCGTGCAGTTGTCTTGGTTTTCTTCTGCGTCTGCTGAGGCGAGTATGAACAAGACTAAGGAGATGAGCAATTGTCGAACAAGAATCACTTGTGGCTGTCTGCTACTACTCCTACAACCACCACCCATCTCCGAGCTGCAGTTCTCCAGGATCTAGCTGGGGGAGAGCCGGGAAATCAAGTCTACTGACCTATATGATATATAGGCCACTTCCTTTAATTTTACCTTGTCTGTGTTGGGGTTAGAACCCAACAGTCTGTTTTGTGAGGACGAAACAAATTAAACTAGTGGTCTTGGAGTTATATTTCAGTTGGGTTGCGCTCAGGTGCATGGATTAACTAACTCAAGTCAATCGATTCTTCGTTTACTTCTGCTGACTTTTCGCTCAGATGCTTCCTTCCTCGAAAGAGAACGAAATTGTTTTGGTAGAAAGAGGACTATCGTCGTCCTCCCCGATCGAGGTGTTAATTTCGTTTCACATGAGTACTTTGAAAATTGAAACCCTTAAACAATACTGACCATGTAACCGTCGTGAGTGGCTTGCTTTGAAGGACCCTAGCTTTTTCTCTTTTATTTGTTTATTTATTTATTTACATGTAATGGAATATCTCTGGACTCCTCTCGATGATTTATTTACTAATTTTAAAGGAGGAGCAATTCGAGGAACATCTTTAAATCTCTCCCTCACCCTGATGATGAGGCGAATTTGACMCTTCAATGATATGGTGACACATAATACTTCGGAATAATTAGGTGACACTTAGGCAATTGGCCAAATTGATAGTGTCCCAGTGCTGACTTTCCACTCATATGCTTCCTTCCTCGAAAGAGAAAGAAATTGTTTTGGTAGAAAGAGGACTATCGTCGTCCTCCCCGATCGAGTTGTTAATTTCGTTTCACACGAGTACTTTGAAAATTGAAACCCTTAAACAATACTGACCATGTAACCGTCGTGAGTGGTGGCTTGCTTTGAAAGACCCTAGCTTTTTCTCTTTTATTTGTTTATTTATTTATTTACATGTAATGGAATATCTCTGGACTCCTCTCGATGATTTATTTATTAATTTCAGAGGAGGAGCAATTCGAGGAACAACTTTAGATCTCTCTCTCACCCCTTTAGGAGGAGATGTTGATGTCGGGGAGAGCAGTCGATAAAATAGGAAGAYTCGTGGTGATCATCAAAGCTGCCATGCTCTGTACTCTCTGCTTTGTAGCTTGCCTCGCTGTTGCTGCTGAAGCTGCAGCCGGGAAACATGAATACTGCGCTCCTTCTTCTTGCGGCAAAATCACAAACATAAGCTACCCGTTTCGTCTGAAGGGCGATCCTCGGCTGGACTGCGGTGACCGACGCTATGAACTCTCTTGCGAGGACAATCGTACTGTTTTATACCTGCATGATCAAGCGAGGTACTACGTGGAGGAGATCTGCTATGAGAATCGTACAATTCGAGTTGTTGATTCCGGTCTACGGGACGACAATTGTTCCTCTATGCCTCACTATTCATTAAACCAGTTTAACTTCAGCAACGGTAGAGGAAAACCATACGGTTTCGCCTACCATGCCGAGTCTATTATGGACGTTGCTCTTCTAAGTTGCGAGACTCCACAAACARTTGGTTGTCGTAATAACAACTATTATTCTGATCTTTGCTTGCTATATATGCCAGCTTGCATCAATGGTTCGGTGGACTCATCAATCTCCTCCTCCTGCCAAAAGCATTATTCTTATGCATTAGTGGGCGATTTACTTGATATTCGGAATATCCCAGAATCGTGCAGCGTCAATTTAGTTGTTCCGGCTGGATTGGAGAATTTAGAGAATTTTTCTTTCCGCCACATCCACCATAAGATGGCAATGGGCTTTCTTCTCTGGTTTCGAATTGATTGCGCAGGTTGCGATGCAAAAGGGTAC